AAAACTCAGTCACTACACTGTCCTGTGAAGCGCATTGAGAAGTCTCAAAGTCGTGATAAGGCGCTGGGATACAGACAATTATTATTATTATTGTTGTTACAAAAAGACTTTTTAATAGCCCAAAAAACAACGTCTCCCCTTTAAGAAGAGGACGGACTCGCTTTAAATCCAAAATACTGTCTGCAGTTTTATATATATTTTTTTGATGCTGTTTTTTGATAGTGATTCATATTCTAATGATGAATATTTTTATTCTGCAAATAGAAATGAAATTATTGGCAAATAAGTTTGTTTGATTCCAAATCCGTCATTTCTTCCCTTGGAAATAAGAGATTTTCTACAACAGTCGTGATAGAAATCAGGTAATACCTGTCTTAGGCTGTTTCAATTTGTTAATCACAACTTACGGCTGATTAAGTTTGCAAAAGACTTTGCTGAATTATTTTACTTTCCTTCAAGCGTGTGAGTCTGTCAGACGAATACAATTGTTTTGATATACTGCATTTATATTCTTATATTTATACAACATATAATATTAAAGTTATTTATATTTTTATACTGTGTGTGTACAGGAGAGACACCGGGAGAGGCTGTGTTTGTGTGGGAGATATTGGAAGAGTGTGTTTGTACAGGAGAAAGATTGGGAGAGCTGTGTGTATACAGGCAGGACACTGGCATTGGCTGTGTATATTCAGGGGAGTCAGTAGAAGAGGTTGGTTTATACAGTGGAAGACACGGGAAGAGGCTACGTGTACAGGAGAAACACTGGGAGAGGCTGTGTGTAGACACGAGAGACAGCGGGAGAGGTAGGTGTGAAGGTGTAAAGTTTCTCTATCACGTTGTGTGTAAAGGAGAAACGCTGGGAGTGGCTGCGTTTATGCAGGAGTAACACTGGGAGAGGCTGGTGTATACATTGGGAAACACTGGAAGAGGCTGTGTATGAAGGAGAAACACTGGGAGAGGTCGGGTGTCCACAGGAGAGACCCTGGGAGAGGTTGTGTGTATACAACCGGAGGCAATGGAAGAGGATGTTTATACAGAAAAGGCCCACAGAGAGTCTGTGTGCATACAGGAGAGACATTGGGAGTGGCTGTGTGTATACAGGAGAGACACTGGGAGTGGCTGTGTGTATAAAGGAGAGACATTAGGAGTGGCTGTGTGTATACAGGAGAGACACTGGGAGTGGTTGGGTGTATAAATGCTAAATAATGATCCATCAAGAAAAAAAAAAGAGAATTTGATCACTCAATCCATATAGTGGGTCGCTGCTGTACGCAATTGGCTGCCGCGTTTCATCCACATATGTACAGTCAAATCATTTGACAGCATATTCTGTAAAGCGCTTTGAGACGTCTAGAAGATGTGAAAAGTCACTGGATCAAATGCAAGAATTATTATTATTTTTATCATTATTATTGTTACAGAGTGAAATCCTCTTCCTGCCCCTCGCAAAACCCTGCAGCACAACTTCACTGCGACCAGAGGGCAGTGCTGCGCTTTGTAACTACCCACAGTATTCTCATGAAACATAATAATAATAGTAATAAACTTGTCATTCGATATTGCGCTGTGAGAGTCTCACAGGCGCCTCAAAGCGCCTGTTTAGTAAAAACAATCCCTTCTACTCCGTTACGGGAGTGAACAGGGTCTCTCTCGAGCTGATCTGGAGCTTGGCAAACAATGTGGGAATCAAGTCAATCTTGTTTGATGGACACTCGGGTCGACAATGCGATCTCTGCCCGTCCCGGGCTGTGTATGTGTGTGTGTGTGTGTGTGTGTCTGTGCATGTCTGTGTGTCCCTCTGTGTCTATGTGTCTGTGTGTTTGTGCATCTGTGTGTGAGTGTCTCTGACGGTATGTGTATCGTGGTGTATCTTTGTGTGTGCCCGTGTGCGCGTGTCTTGGTGTGTCTGTGCGTAGAGAGGAAACTTGCACAAGGTTTCGCCCCCAATTGGGGATTGACCCCCTGTCTCTGGCTTGCGAGGCGAGGGCTCTAATCACTGAGCTACAGGACCTGTTACAGAGATAGTATACGGTATATACTGTGAAGCGCTTTGAGTCGTTCCGAAGACGTGATAACACTCTGTGTCAAATACAAGGATTACTATTATTATTATAAAAAGGGCTTTAACCCCAAAATATCTCCTCTCCCCTTTAAGAGAGGGACGGCCTCGCTTTAAATCCCGAATATGGTCAACAGATCAAAATCCTGCTCTGGCCCCGTGAACGAATCCAGCCCCGCCCCCAGCTGCGGCCCCGCCCCCAAACCCAGCCCCGCCCCCAGCTCCGACCCCTCCCACAACCACAGGGCCGCCCCCAGCTCCGGCCCCGCCCCCAAACCCAGCCCCGCCCCCAGCTCCGGCCCCGCCCCTAAACCCAGCCCCGCCCCTATTTGTCTCCTGTTTGTAGCAAAGCCTCCAGCGGCTGATTGACAGAGAGTCAGCGAGAGAGAAAGAAAAAGGGGGTGAGTGTGAGAGACCGGGAGAGAGTTAATGCAAAAAGCCGTTTACATATTTGGAATTATTGCAGAATTAGGAATATTTTGCACTGATGCACTTTAAACCCCGATGATCTGAGGGGAATTTACAGCCGTTTCCCGTGTTAATCCCCGGCTGTGGGATTAAAATCAAAACCCAAAGTTAACGCAAAACCATATTTATATCATTGTGATTACGCAAATATCGGGGTTTATTGAACTATTGCACTTGAAACACCGCGGATATGGGGGCTTTTTAAACCGTTTCCCGTGTTGTACACAGAGAGCGCGTTATTATTTAACCAGAAGTCAATGATAAACCCATGGAGTATCGTTGGGATTAACGCAGATTTAGAAAGCCTGGGATGGACTTTGAGACGTCTGGCAGAAGTGATGAGGAGCTGTGCACAATGTGTGGATTATTATTGTCGAGATCAGGAGCTGAAAGCTCCAGCCTGACGTTCATTGTGTCACATGTGAATTACTTTAGAATTTTCTCTGTGCAAATTAGCTCTTTATTCGCTCACAAACACACACAGCGCTTCACAGTCGATTCCGAGAAAGGATTGAGCCGCGGTCCCAATGTGAAAGGTGTAACATAAACTATAAGCTTTATTGTACAAGGACACAGATTATAAAAGGTTCAGCCTTGTGGCCATCACAGCCAAACACAGGTCATGGCTGAGGGATTCCTCCTCAAGAATCTGTCACCCGGCAGATCCTCAGAGGATCACAGTTTTTGCC